ACAACAGAATAGTTATAAAGTCCACCATAAAATGGAAAAAACATATGGAGATCAATCGTTTGTCCCGGATTAAGCATTCCAGGAAATACTTCGTGGTCTCCAACGTCCGGCCCAAATGGCACCAAGTTTTCTGTGAATTTAAAAAGCGATTAATTACTCGTTTCTAACGGAAATTTGATCGGAAAATATTCAATCATCAATAACGAAACACGATGCAATATCTATTGCATCACAAAGCTAGAACCTTTATGGCAATGCAAAGTGTAGGCGCAGATAACTGAGTTGTGCATGCCGAAAGCTAACGAACGCATGAAACATGATATCACCTGCATAAAATGGTGAAAGTTGCTGTGCGATTGGTACGAAGCCTTGATTTGGTACGGGGACTGAGGAAACACCAGGTGGTACTGGAATTGGTTGCGGAGGAATCGGTCGTGGTCGTTGGGAGATTTGGGGGAGCAGTGGATTGGAAGCCTGCGTAATGAATGGTGACATTTGTTGAGCATCCGTGAAAATGATCAAGCAAATGAACCCACTCAAGACACACATAAATCCACATTGCCATATCATCTGGGACCAGCGCAACATTGCGATAGGCTTAGCTTTAAACGATGTAACTTCACGATTATCGAACTCAGATTTCCTCTCGAACCAACAACTCAGATGCTTCGCCTATCGTTCTCAAACATCTGTCAAGACCTGCAAAAAAAAAAATTTTACACTGCATTGGCCAATTCTGTCTCCTAAGCAGCGAATAACGTGAAATAACAGCTAATTGTGAAATAAGAGCTCAGCAATTGCCTCTAAAAAATCGATCGTCACAGCGCAAAATTTTGTTCGATTACCGATCGTTCGCACTCCATAATTCGAATTCGATAATGAGCTACAATCATCTTCAGAAAACGTTTTAGAGTTCACGAATATATTGCTAGCAGGTACATTGCACCTCATAACCCATCATATCGCACTAAAATTTTTTATCGCAACCAACGCTTCTCATTCATGCCTATTGATTTTGTTGATTGGTAATGATCTATTAGCGTGTGATCCTTGTAGGAAAACAGTTTCAATGAGTAAATTCGTGCGCTAATGTTTTCTCACTGACATTACACTGACTGCAAAGTAGATTCAACATTTCACAGAATAAAAGCTCAAGTCTACGCAAGAGCATTATTTCATTTCATCCAACTTAATGCTTTCCTTACCAAAAGTATACACTCAACAACTGTATGAAGTTGTTTCATCTCGAAAATTCAATCGCTTAAAACAAACCTATGAGCTGACTGAATCGAGGTATTCAATATTATAAGCAGATAATACAGATGTATGTCTTCTATAGTGAATGATGATGTAATTGGCATACAGCTATCTTAAAGCTAGTCTATTATTCAAAAGGTAAATAAGTGAGCAAGTAAATAAATAAATAACTGAATAAATAAATACTTCAAACGATACATTCTCACAACAACCGGATGCACCAACTAAGTAACGCACAAAAACAAGACCGTAGAGTCAATCGAAAAGCTGAAAGATTCTTTGAAAAGCTGAAAATGGTTTTGCATTTTCTCAGATAAATTCTAATGAACAAAATTGCATCAGTTCATTCAGCCTAGTTCTGTGGCTCGAACTCACTGCATTCAAATTGACCAGTTCACGGACTGAATAGTTTCGTAACCAAGAAGTGGACAAATTTTGTCCCAATCAGTAACGATCGAAATTATCTAGAGACTCTGAATTCGATGAAGAGAAATTATTTTCAGCTTTGTTAATCTAATCTCGTTGTTGATGTTGCTGCATTACCTAAAATCGTAGTATTTTGCATCATCTCTATCGTGTTTGCATAAATTTCGCTTGGCAAACAGTGGCTTAAATTTCGTTCATTGTCGTCCATTCATTTGTTGTATTTGAATGATTGTACTAGATATTAACTATACGAATAAAGTGAACAAATTACAGTGAAGTTAGTTGCCCGACTGCAAATTTACTTTATTCGCACAAACTCTGAACTCCTTCTAACAACTCCTATTCAAATAACATGCATAATCGATATTCATCTGCAGAGCTAATGCACACCAGAATGTAACTTACACAGTCACTGACTCAACACGCATTCTCATTCATAATGCTAAAAATTATTTTTTAAATATTGTTAGAAACAAAAGTAAAAAGAACTTAAGTCGTCCACACTTTTGTAGGGATCAGAAAAGAGCTCTGAAAAAGTGGAAGAAATAATTCGTCCGAAATGANCTGCAGAGCTAATACACACCAGAATGTAACTTACACACTCACTGACTCAACACGCATTCTCATTCATAATGCTAAAAATTTTTTTTTTAAATATTGTTAGAAACAAAAGTAAAAAGAACTTAAGTCGTCCACACTTTTGTAGGGATCAGAAAAGAGCTCTGAAAAAGTGGAAGAAATAATTCGTCTGAAGTGATAATCCAACTTAAAAAGCACATTTACATCAAGAAGGAATGAATATCCAGCGATATTTCAAACGAGCGATTTGAAAAAATCGAGAAAATCCTCAACAAAAAAAAAACAGTTGATCTGCGGGAGATAAAATTGAAACAGAGTAAACGGAATGAGGCTTTTCTATTTCTTATAAATATTTTCAAAAAAATAAGATAAAAGGACGCAATAAACGATGTGAAAAAAATACCAAATAAAAATACTTTTCAAAGAAAAGATTCGTCAGTAACTTCAAAATTATTTTTTTTAAATACCGCGAAACCATGTGCAAAAAAATAAATGAAATTTGGGTATTCCTCATATTCATTGCAAAAACTAAGCAAGAATGAGTAGGATGAGTTCACGAAGGATGGAAGGTACACATCAGAACGGCATTAGTCGTTACATAACGCGAATCGAGATGCATCGTGATGAGGGCTGTGTCCACTACTCGCTCCTGCCCACTAATTCAACAACACGATCACAACTATCCAAACAATCCCATTCCAAATTCCTCGCGCTTATCTCCGTCACCATCAGAAAACAATTCACTATATTCTCATCACGCTAGTATTGTGTACCCTCCGTCCTTACCTTTGTTTTATTGTATTCTTTAAAAAACGAAGTTCATATCGATAAGCGAATTATGGTTGTGTTGAGATAATGTAAAGAATAACCGTACTAAGTGATACTTCATGATTTGTTATGAGAAAAAGTCACAATCTTTTGAACGGAGTAAAAACAAC